AAGAAAAGAAACATAATAAATTTGCCAGGCGTGGTGGCACATGCCTGTAATCTCAGCACTCGGGAGGCTGAGGTAGGAGGATCGTTGTGAGTTCGAGGTCAGCCTGGGCTACAAAGTGAGCTCAAGGCCAGCCTGAACAGCATAGTGAGACCCTGCCTCAAAAGGACAACAACAACAAAAAAAAAGATGGTAACTTGTATGCATATTCTGCCTCCATAAAAAGGGTGTGACCAGGCATGGGGGACATGCTGAGTGCATTTGGGCAGCCTTCCTGACTGATCTGAAAAGGGGAGCTGGACAGGGTAGGACTGGCAGGAGGGTAATGCAAGGCTGTCCTCTCTGGTGATGGCAGGAGGGTCATCTCATTCTTTCTTCCTCCCCAGACCCTGTAGGAGCACCCCAGGCTCCCCATCCTCCTCTCCACACCTACTAGTGTCCTGCTTCAGGGACTGGAGGATGCTTCTTGTCCCCCAGATACAGCACAGTCTCCCAGATAAGGCCCCAGCCACCAGAGAGCTGTGGAAGGTATAGGTAGAGACATCTGCACCCGTAGCCCCACCCCCAAGCCTTCCTCCTGCTGCCCCGTGCTGCCCACTTCTCTAATTGCTGCGTTAGCTCAGAGCCCTCCTAGCCCTGCTCTGCTTTCCTTCCTGCTCAACTTCAAAATTCTCTACACTATCACCCAGCTTCACCCCTTCCTTGGAGCCAGTGACAACAGACCATTCCCATGGCCTCTCTGGGTCTCCTGCCCCTTACTTTAGGTAGGCTTTTCTATCTGCCTGGAATCGTCCCACAAGTCCTGCCTCTGCACATGTTGCAGAGTTCAGCTGTTCCTGCCCAGCCGTCATAAGGGAATAATACTTCCTTGGGAAGAGTTATCAGTCACCTATCATCCATTCCAAACAGCAGAACAACCTGTGGTGTGTGCCTCCCATTGGTTCAGTGACAAGTGCATGGAATTAACAGATCTTCCCTGCAATAGTGTAGCCCAGGGCTAAGCCAGCCTGTAGATCTAACTTCTGGTTTACAGGAAATGCATAGGATAGATAAACAAATCAGATGACTCACACTAAATAAAGAACAAGAACGTTGTATTACACAGTGGTGTTAACTCTTCAAAAGGTCAGGATCAGCCAAGTGCCTATAATTTTATCTGTTTGGGAGGCTGATCCATGAAGTTCACAAGTGAGGCCAGCCTGGGCAATTTAGCAAGAACTTGTCTCTAAATAAAAATAAATAAATAAATAAATAGACCAACCAACTGACACAACTAGAGCTGGGAATGTAGCTCAGAAGCCATATCAAAGAAAGGTCAATATTATAAAAAAATGATCAAGTGAGGCCGGGGATATAGCTTAGTGGCACAAGTGCCTGCCTGCAAGCACAGAGTCCTGAGTTCAATTCCCAGTATCAAAAAAAAAAAAAAAAAATCAGGTGGTCTAAAAAGACTAAAAGGAAATACCCATATGCCATTCATGAGCCTAGACTGGATTGTGATTCAAAAAATAAAAGCAAGAGAAGAAGGATTGAAGGAAAGAAGGGAGGTAGAGGAGAGGGAAGGAGAAGAAAGTATAGAATACATTTTGGGGGACAGTTAGAAATTTTCAGTTTGAATTGGTGTTAGATTGAGACAGGAGATTAGGGTGAGGCAAAACTGGCTGGGGAAGTAACCTGTTAATTACAAAATCCCACAACACATTTGCAGAACAGTTCCCAGAGCTCTGCATGTGGACTTCTCATGAGAACTCAAGCAACTTTTCAATAGAATGGCCTAGACTGGACGTCATCCTAAGAGTGGGTGATACAAAAAGGATAGTCACCATTGAGTTTTTGCCGTTGTGTTTTCTCTTGCATGGTGGCCCACCCTCACACTCTAGGGTGTACTTCTTTTTCTCCTTTTACTTGGCCCAAACTCTCTCTGCAGAGCCTGTTTCTTTTCCTACCTTTAATAAAACTTTGCTACCATTGATGCTTATCTTGACCAATTCTTTGCTCAGGACAGAAAGAACCTAGAAACCACCTCTAAAAGGAGACTCCAGCACCCTAAAACCTGGTAACAAGATGACAACTAGTCACTGTCAATTTTGTCAGGTGTGATAATAGTGTCATTAGGAAAGACAGTGTCATAGTAGGAGATGCATGCTAGACTATTTAAGGGGGCAGTGTCAAGCAGCCCTAATTTACTTTGCAATAGTTTGACAAAAAA